ACGATATTCACCTTCATCTGTTGTGTCATTCTGGTTCCTTACATGTTCATCAAAAGTTCTGAAATATTTCTGTAGCTCTACTTCCCAATTGATGTCCTTTCTGTTTTTCCCTGTAGGATCCTGGTCTCTAGTAGGTGATAATCCCTCAATGCATCCAGCTTCTCCGGTGATATTTGCTGTCCTTATGTTCACACCATCATCGTGAATCACTGTTACTGGACTCTCACTTGAGCCTGTGTGAGGGGAACTCAGATGCTCCGATGACACTGAGTTTCCATCTTCATCGACTCGTTTTGGATTTGATGGTCTTCTCTTCATGCAAGCCTCACACTGTAGTCTCCATGGAAGATTTATTAGTGTGCAGGTTTCACAGACCCACTTTAATTTGCGTTCATTGTTTTCATTAATTTCAATGGGCATTGGCGGAACGTTACTGGCGGTTGCTTTGCCCTGCCAGAAATCAAAACACTCTCTGTCTCTGAAAAATGATAATTCTGCTTTTATCTTGTTTGCTTTCCTCTTATCTGAATATCTTATAGCTTCTTCTTCTTCCTGTTTCCTGATGTTTTCAATTTCTTCTCGCACTTCTGCAATCTCCTGTATGATCTCTCTGGCATCGGAGGAATTCAACCGGAATTCATAATTTGCTTCACTGATCGCCTCTTCATGTATTGATTCAGGTTTTCTTCTCCCAATAACTGACATTGGCATGGACACATCCTCATATATTTCATCCCCTGGTGTTGTTGCAGTCGATGTCATAGATTCAGATGTTTCCAGAATAGTAGAGACATCAGGGGAAAAGAAATTATTCATTCTGAGTCCAAAATTCTTACTCTGTCTGCGAAAAGGACCAAACACATCGGACAAGTCTAGCCCAGTGTTTTCTTCTTCACTCTCCTCGGTCCTTGTCTGCTTCCTGTTTTCCATTCGACGTAAAGCATTTGGCGAGTTTTTAGGCTTAACATCAACAGAGGTTCTTGAGTCTTTGGCAAGCTGATAGAATAACTCAGCATCAATGACAGCTCTCTGCAAGGGTGATTCCCGTGCTCGACCAGGTGAACTAGGTGGCTCTGGACTGCCTGTAAATAAATCAGGTAAGCTATCACATTCCAGAGAATTTCGCAGACTTTCTAAATCAAGAGGGAATAAGTCGTTCCCACTGCAGTTGTCGTCTAAGGAATGATTACCATTAATTCTCTCCACTCTGAGCGTAGACTGCTTGGAGTAGCTCTCGGGTAGAGTACCAACTTGTTCATTTTTATGGTAGTTGTCTTGGTTTTCATTTCTTCCCATATACCATAACCTTGAAGGTCCAGGTTCTTCTTGCCCAGTTGAACCAGAATGTTCTTGTTGTCTGGGCAAGAAATCCCTTTGTGTTAGAATACGTGGTTCACTTGCTTTATAAAACTTACTATCGTAATCAGCTTTCTGTGCCCTCTTTTCCTCTAATTCTCGTTGCATTTGTTCTGAAGCAGCTCTGTCCAGCTCACTTATGCTTGCTAACAGAGAGACTTGTGACTGCCTCTTTTCTTTCTTTTCTTCTTCTTTTGTTTTTGTGGGAGATTCTTTGGCATCATTTTTATTTTTGTTTTTCTGAAAAGTTCCTGTAAGGTTTAGTTTCCGTGAAAACTGGATTTCAGGCATCCAGGTATCATAGACTTTTTCCTTTTTCATCGAGGTCTTAGGATCTTTACTGTCATTTTCCTTCTTTTTCCTCTTATACCAAGGACGAGGTGTGAGAGTGGATTTACTGTCATCAGAGACACACGAGCTTGATGTAGATCTTACGGTGCTGTGGAGAGCAGAATTCGCACTGCTGCTGTGGGACTGAAGTGTGGAAATGGATGATAAGGACTGAGACAATGAACTGGTACTAGAAACACTATCTGTTGGTCGATCACCTGAGCTAGACCCGTCAGCAGAGTGGAGTTTCGCTCCTTTCTCAGATTCTGCTCTTTTATTCTGATTCTCTTCTTGAAATCTCTGAGCGACTGCTTGCACTGGTGGAGGTGGAGCTCTTCTTTTGGTTTTCCTGCAAATTAGCCCTTCACTTTTTGATTTCTGTAGCCTTCTCCCTTCCGGAACCTCTGCCGTAGAACCAGTAACTGGTATGAGGTCCCTGGAAGGTAAACTGGTGTAGCTTTTAAGTGACCCTGATTCACTTGACTTAGGGGATCCGGGAGGCTGGGGGGCTGGCCTCTTCTTTCGCATAGATGATGGTCTTGACGAGCCTTCTCTCACGGATGAATCGACTGACGAACCACTTATGGCAGAGACTCGACTGTTTCTTTTGGAGTCTGATTTTAATCTGCTCAGAGAAGATTCTTTGGAAAAAAGTTTATATTTGCGTGAAGTAACAGCCTGAGATTGGATACTGCAAGGGGTTAAAATTTCCTTCTGGTTACCAGCACTTTTGCTTCTCATAATTGGTATGTAAGCAAAACTACTTGTCGCACTGGTTAAGCTACTGAGACTTTCACTGCTGTTAATGCTAATCTTGTCAACAGAACCAAACCTTCTCTTGTCTCGATTTCTAAACCATTTGAATATATTTAGAAAGCCATTGGATTTTTGTTTCTGTCGTGCTGCATACTGACTAGATAATTTGCCCATATCACCGGGAGCAGTACTCGTCTTAGTTGCACCAATCCTTTCACCAGTGTTCGTCTGTCCTTCACACCGGAGCGGGGAAAAGGGAGTCTGGATACCAGGTTCTCCATGCTGGCCCCTCCGTAACACGCTCTCAGGCGAAGGCATCCCTGAGGGGGAAGTGGATTTCCTAAGTGGTGATTCGCCAGGGTAAGCGTGTGTACCTCGATTACTGACATCTTTAACTTCGCTTTTCGCTCGTCCTGAGTCACTGATTCCTACTTGCGTCCCATCGCCTGCCGTTCTTTCTAACCTGACATTACCTCTGTTTCCCTCTTGGTCAATATTATTTCGAGAGGTGTCCTGAGCCCCGGTTTGTGTAAGTCTCCCATCCAGAAATTCCTTCTTACTTGTGACTGTTGAGCAGGTGAGAGATGAAGAACAGACTGTTGAAGTACGTGAGTCAACAGAAGTGTGTGTACTGGTGACAGAAACAGAACTATTGCTACTGCCAGCGCCCACTGCGGCATCACCCTTTTTCTTGTGTTTGCTTTCCATTCTAGCCAAAGAGGTGACCACATCCCCGTTACTCTCCAGTTCTGAGCCCTGAAATGAAGAAAAATATCTATGTGGCTTTAAACGAGTTTGCATATAATTTTTAAGATATCCATTTGGTTTAGAAAACATTCAGATTCTCGAATGTATATATATGTGTGTGCGTGTGTGTGTGTGTGTGTGTGTGTGTGTGTGTGTGTGTGTGTGTGTGTGTGTGTGTGTGTGTGTGTGTGTGTGCGTGCGTGCGTGCGTGTGCGCGTGCGTGCGTGTGCGTGTGCGTGGGTGTATATTATACTTTTTGATCCGTTTTAATGATTTGGTCAATTTTGATCATTCTAAAGATAGACATATACTGAATTCTCACTTGATATCATATCCTGTCTTCATAATACATATTCAGATTATCACGTCTAAAGTTGATTGTATAGAACGGTTACTAAAAATAACCTTTAGTCCTATACAATAATGATTACGTACCCCAACAGGTTATGTATACAATGACTGCATACTGTACGGGCCAAATAACACAACGAAATGTTTTATAATAGTATAAAAGACTGTTTGGCAACTCTGATCACTCTGTTTCGATGTTTATTTGTGCACCAATTATTCTAAAACACTTTTTTCAGCAAGACTTTATCTAATAACTAATAACTAATCATTTAATTTCGGGGTTTATTTATGCACCAATTATTTTAAAGTCCTTTTACGACGAGACTGTATGTAATAACTTACCTTATAGCACGATATTTTATACAGTTGCAATATTTCAAAGATAACTCGTCATAAACAACCTTGATTGGAAATATGAAAGTGATACTAAAGCTCTTAATAATTTTGATGATAGTAATGGTGAATGTACCGATACTGATTGCAATGACAAGGTTGCTACAATAATAATAATGATATCAATAAATATAATAACGACATTGTTAGTGATCATGATGGCGATGATAATGATCATCACAAAAGATCTGATCGAAATTTTGTCCAACCAATGAAAAAAAAAAAAAAAAAAATGCTATAAAATGATCTGACTCGTACCAATAAAGGAAAGTAAGCCCCACTGGCTCTCTACACACTCTACACAGAGGTCTTCCCACAGCTGAAAACCTTTTTCCGAAAGCTTTTCCCCATTATCCGCAGCCTTGGCTCCGATAGCAGAGGAGGACGTGAAAGCTTCTAGGGAAATTGCAGAGTAAAATATGAATATACAGAGAATTGGTCAATATATGGTCAAATGCAGGGGGCTATACTCCTTGCAACCACCCCATGGAGCAGCTGCTACTCCTCACCCCCCCCCCCAACCCCCGTCATGGACAACAAAGAATCCATCATGCATATACGGAAGGATAGACTATAGGACAGACATCAGGCGCTCCTGCATGTCGGCCGTACGCTCTACCATGCCATTTAAATACGGAGCGGGGTTGGGGGGGGGGGCAGATGTCCCCATGGGGCGGGGTGTGTGCATAGGTTGGAGGGCAGTAACCCCCCTGCATTTAATTATATCTGGATCATTTCTCTGTATATTCATATTTTACCCCGCAATTTCCCTGGTACCATTCATTCTCTCCCCTACTATCAGGACCAAGACTGTGGAGGTTTGGGAGGGGGAGGGGGGGTCCGCAGCAAATTTCCTACATATAGGGGTAATGAAAGGTGAGAGGAATCCACTGATATCACTATCGTAATGATGGGTCATTCGAAGGTATTCTAAACAAGAGCCAGTAGGTAAGTTATAGGAATATCAAGAGTTCCTCGTTAATTTCGGGATACAATTGTGGTCGTTGCCGAACTGCCTCTTCGCTCACATCACAACGGCCGCCACGCCCTGATACAGTAATACGAAC